ATTTCATGAATTTCCTTAAGATAGAAAAAATAAAATAAAGTTAGTTTTTTTTTAAAATATTTTTTTTATTTTGTATGTAAGAACAGGAAATGACAAACACTGAGTTTGAAACAGTTAAAAAGATAGACAATAACACTAAATTGGTTAGAATTGGTGATTTAAACGTAAGATACTCAAAGAAATACAACAAATATTCTTTGTCAGACATTTTATCTCCATTTGAAAAGAGAGCAAAGGACTGGGTTAGAAATGCTTCAACTCAGAAAATTTTGACAAGAAATCCTGAGCTTATGATATCGGTAAAATTCTATGGAACTGCAGCATATCTTATAGACAAAAGTCTTATACCAATAGTTTTGTTATGGTTAGACCCAGTTGTTGGATATAACTTCATAACATATGGTTCATTCGATACGGAACGTTGCAGTGAAGGCTTACTTTACATCGTTCAGAAACCGAAGGACTTCAATACAAAAAGATATAAGATAGGAAGAACATATAATATAACTCAAAGATATGACAGTACAGTCAATAGAGTCAAGGTTGTGTTTGTTAATGATATGAGAGCTGCAGAAACAGAACTACTTGAAAAGTTTGAGAAAATGTATGGTGCTCCCATAAAAGGTAAAGAAACGTTTGAAGTAGATGAGATAGATAAAGCTATAAAATTATTTGACGAAGTTGCTGAAAAATACATGTAAAAATAACGTTTACCATGTAAAACGTTTATAAAATAACTGGGGTAGAAAAGAGGGTAGAAAAGAGGGTAGATATACCCATCTACCCTAAATTATATTTTTATTGAATTCAGCAACAAAAATCTGAGTAAAATGGCATAAGATTGCTTACCATGTAAAACCGAGAGAAGAGATTCCGTACGAAAACAGTGAAGCACAGCGAGTAGGGAAGAAACCCCAGTCGCCAAAACTCTATGAAAACAGTGAAATTTCTCTAGACCGACTTTTTCCCTACTCGCCAAAACTCTATGAAAATCATGAATTTCCTTAAGATAGAAAAAATAAAGTTAATTTTATTTTTTTTATTTTTTTATTTTGTATGTAAAGACAGATATGTCAACAACAGAGAACACAACAACAGTTATAGTCCATGAAGATATAAATGAAGAATATGAGTACATACAGTTTAACAAACAGTTACGTCTCATTCGTTCGGTCAAAGATGACATGTACCAAATGCAAAGTATTTTGAATGCTCTTCGTTCTACAAAGCAAGCATATCATTGGTTTGAAAACCAACAGACAAAAGAACTTTTAGAAGAATTTCCTCATATGTTTGCTACCCTCGGAAAACCGAGGGTAGAGATTCCCGTACGAAAAATCGCAAGAATTTGGCTCCTGGTTTGAAGGCTGGTATGTACATAGACTTCTTGTAAATGCTGTTGCAATGTGGGCTTCACCTCGTTATGCTTGTTATATTTTCATGATGTTAGATGAAATTCATAGACAGAACGTGAAGAGCTAGAGAACAAGCTTGAAGCAAAAGAAAAACCATACAGAAAAGAATACCACGTTCGGTACCAAAAGGAAAGGAAAAGAACTATAAGTATATATGATTTATACTGAAGAGATGGAAAATGAAGAAGATAAAGATATGGTTATGTTGCATTTAGTCAGAAGAAACAACAAAAGCCTTTTACGACCTTGCTAAGATTTACAAAATCTGACAGAAATTGGTTCTATCGCGAAAACTTACCGATTTCAATGACCCCAAATGAAGATGTGAAACAAATAGTTCAAGATACGTTACCTCAAACTCACTATGATATGAAAGGTGTACAATACTTACCTTCAAAGAAGACTTACCCGCTACTGAAAGAAAAAATAACAGAGTATTTTGACAACTTCAAACAAGCAGAGTAGATGAACTCTTTATTTTTACGCTTGACTTTTTACAATTTGAACTTTGTTTGCGTAGATATGAATTCTGAAAGAAGTATGAGGGTCTTGTATGACTTTGTACTTCTCCCATAGTTCATGTCTGTCAAACTTACCTGCCATGGACTCTTTCATAAGTTCCATGAAATCGTCTTCGGACAATCCTGGGAAAAGTACAATGTCAGTAAGTATTCTCTTTACATCCTTACTTAAACTCTTGGCTGTCTGTACACAAATGACAACTGAGATGTTAAAGTGTCTGAGCTTCTTAAGAATTCGACACATGTCTTTTCTCTATTCTTTAACAAAGGATGAGAGGCGAAATCATCTAAGATAAGAAGACATCTATGAGGGTAAGTCTTCCAATCGTAAGATTGCAATTTCTTCGAAATGTATTCTATCTCTTTCTGTTTGTTTCTGAAGTGTTTCTTCTCTAATATTCTCTGCATTTCCTCATTTGGGTCTTTAAACTTAGAATTTATATACTCATTTATAGCATTGTACTTCAAAAACTCTTCTTTGGTACTTTCTTTATCCAATCTAACAACTCAGAGTCTTTTATACATACTAACTTAGACTTCTTTATAATATCTTTGAACGAATTGACGGTTTGGTCAAATTGACCAGAAGTACTACAAATAACAACTAACTCATAGAATGGGTTCTTCTCATCTAGTTCTTGTTGTTGTGCAGCCATTTTTAAGATAAGTGAAAGTCTTACCCGACCCAGGCGGTGCGATTAGACCTGTTATACCATTCTGAGCAAATAAGAACTTGTCATGTATAGGCTTTATCTGAGCATTTTCTAACTTCCTCTTGTTCTTGTTTAAAACATTCTCAAATTTCTTGTCAATGTCAGCAAACTTTTTTCTAACATATTTTTAGAAAAATTAAAATTTTTATCTTTTAGAAAAATGTCTAGCGATTTCGCTATCTATATTCGAGACAAACTTTTTGACAGCAAAACATCTGTCGACCATAAAATCTTACATAGTGTAAACAAGAAAGGTGAATTTGTTCTAAAGTTCTGTTTCTGGGAATATGACAAGAACCATAAAACATTAAGCAGAGAAGTCTTTAAGTTTGTCAATGACAGACTTGTTGACAGAGATGACGCCTCTTGAAAGATGAAGTCCAACAAAAGTTCTTAGAATGCAAAGAAGACACATGCGCTGTTCTTGAAGATGAAATAGAAAACAGAATAGATGAGCTATTAAAGGACAAAGAACTTTTACAGAAATATGGTTCTGAGAAATTTGACATAACTCACCAGAGAAGAGAAGAAGAGAGAGAAGAAAGAAAAGAAAGTAGAAGAGAGAAGAAAGAGCCAGAGCCAGAGCCAGAGAAAAAGAAATTTGACATGTAAAAATAAAATTTTATTTTTAGAACATTTCTGGGTCAATGTCAATGTTCTCTTCCTCTTTAGGAGCAAAACACTGGCTTAGACTCTAAAATCTTTTTACCCAATTTACCTTGAACTTCAACTATCTTAGACTCATAATATTCATAGTCGTCTGCTTTCTTGGTTCATAAGGTATAACAAGTTTGTATGCTTTGCCTTCTTTAAGGTTTGAGAACCTTTCTGTCAAAATTTTCTTTGACTGCTAACAAACCTTCTATGTCTAAGTCTTCAAATTTCGCACCATTTTTAGTCACAATAGCAAACTTAACGGGTTCGATGTTCCAAACTTTGTCAAATGTAGACTTTTCAAAATGGTAGAAGTAAACATTCAAATATGTGAATGGGTCTAGTTCTTCTTTAAGTCCTGACATGTACTTGTTGACTGAGATGAATTTTCGCCCATCTTTCTATCGGATAAAAAAAATATTTTTTTTAAAATTTACTCATAAAAATTTTTCTTTGTATATACGCCGTTCTGAACATCTAAAAGACTTTTGACATTTGCCAAGAATGTACGTTTAGAAGCTGCCATATAACCATACTCTTGACAATATTGTTTATATGAATCGTACAATGACCTTTCATCTAACACTCAAAGTTAGTCTCATCTATAAACAGTTCATATACACTCTTGTTTGCTTCTAACAATGTTTGTCTCTCTTCGGTATGTGGAATTGTCTTGGATTGAACTTTGAAATATCTAATGTCATGAAATATGAGAACAAGTGGTTGTAAAAGTTAGGTGTCAAAGTTTCTGCTAAGTCGTCAAAATATTCTGTATCTTGCATATGAGAATCTGACGTTCTGACAACTACATATCTTCTGTCAGAACTTTCTAACTTCATCGGAACAACATTGTTTGAAACCATGATGAAATTTGCAACATTTTCACAAACTCTTTGGTCTTTATATTTTCTTTCAACAACTCCAACTTTGTCTGTTATAAGACTCTTCAAAGCATCTGAGTTTAAAACCTTTGTTGTATCTATACTTTGAAGTTCGTTACATACTATAAGTTTCATATTCTCTATTGAAGAGTTAAATTTACCGCAGATGTTTTCTAAAGTTTGTCATATTCGGGTTCGAATAACCTTCTAACAGTTTGCACAAAATATCTGTAAAGAAAGTGTTCTTACCAGTTCCTTGTTTTCCAATTATAATGAGAGCAGTTTCATTTTTAGCACTTGGATGTTGTAAGATGTTTGCAAACCAACATAAGATATACTCATAGACTCTTTCGTTTCCATTGCATATAATTTCTTTGACATGGTCTAACCAAGCTTCTATAACATTTTCTTTCCATTCTACTTGTTCGTATTTTATATCCAGTGAAGATAGAATAGAAGTTTGGAGATGGTGTATAGAACTTTATACCACGAACTGAAAAAATCTTCTAACTTTGACAATAAGATATCCCAAGCATCTAACATCTTCATACCAACTTGTACGACTTTTATTTTCTTAAGTTTCTGTCTACATTCTTGTTCAGACACAATTGTTGCTCTTGGTTTGTTAAAGACAACATCCATTCTTTCATGACATAACATTCTGGGGCAGAGTCAACATAAATGACTAAACGTTTCAAATTCTCGACTGCTTTGTTATAGTCTCTAAATGGACACATATTTCTGAACGCTTGGAAGTCATAAAAATCTGAAACGTCTATTCTGTACATTTTTATAAAAATAAAAAAAATATTTTTTTTATTCTTGACTTTGTTGTTGCATTTGTTGCATTTGTTGTTCTTGAGCTATTTGTTGTTGAAGTTGTTCTTGTAGTACAATACTTTCACCAGTTGCATCTTCCAATTCGAAACTTTCTGCCGTCATTGACAAATACATAGGACATAAAAGTTTTACAGGAACAAAGTTTGCGTCAACTAAGGTTAAGTTTATGTTTGCTAAAGTGTTTGAGTTTACTAAAGCTGAAAACTCTGCATTCGAATGAACAATAGGCAAACCAGCAGAGAAAGTGTTGTTTATACGCATGAGTATCTTTTGGTCATAGTAGTTTCTGTCGACATTCGAATAGCACTTTGAACCTAAGTTTGAAACAATATATAAAATAGGTGTACTTAAAGTCAATGGAACAGACAAACCTTGTATGACACCTTTTCCTGTTATAGGAAACTGTTGGTAGTAAAAACCAGATATAAGTTTTGTATTATAGCTCATATCGTTTATACTAAACTCAGTCGGACATCCAAACATAATGAAACCTGCTCTAGTTGCAGCACATGTTACATCCGTCCTTAAAGTATTAAATAAGTCAACAAAACCTGTTGGTGGTATATCTGAGTAAGTATCTTCAAAGAAGTATTTTTTACCATTCACAACAACAAAGTCTTCTGGTGTCAAAAGAGCAAAACAGGCTTTAGTCGTCATCGTGTTTAAAGTTAGTTTACAATATCGTCCTTGAGGACTTTGTAAGTTTGTTGTTATAGAATTATATGACTCAGGGTTTTTAGTCGTAATAGTATAAACCACTATGTCTTCTGCATTTACTTAGCAACTAAATTTTAATGAAATGTTGTGGTCGTCAAATATTTTTATGACGTCTGGGAAACTATATTTTAAGTTCAACGTTTCACCTCCTTTCATAACGTATATCTTGTCAATGACATTATATGAAACACCACAGCAACTAATGTCGGGTTCGATTTCTTTGATGTTTATATCGTCTGCCTCTGTCAAAGTTTCAATAGTTCTTTCAAAAACTTCATGAGGTGCAATGACATATGAGTTCACTTTTACAGGGTTGTGTTCGACCAAGTTTAACATTATACCTAAAGCTTGACAAATCTTCTCTGAGTTTGAAGTTTGTCTTTCAGTTGTTGGTAGTCGTTTCGAATATCTGCAACAGAACTTAAGTCTCTGCTAACTTCAGGATATGTTGGTTGTTCTTTTACAGGAACAATTGTTATACCATCTTCGTCCTCGTATGGTTTCCCCACTTCAACATCTCTGTCTTTGACATTGACAAAACACTTTGACTGTTTGTTTGAGTTGGTGAATTTAACTTCACATCTGCCACCGCCATTAAACCTTTTGAAACACTCACGCTTCTATTTTTCGGAAATGACATTTTACTTAGAATAAAAGATGGACGTATTCGAGTATCTCTTCGAATTGAAGCAGAACAAAGTTTACACACACAACAATACAAATACATTGACAGAATAGTTCTTTATACAAACAATGGTAAATGTTATAGAATAGCAATATTTGCTGAACCAAAATATTTCCATAAAGCAAAGAAAGTTGGTATAACTGAAATGGTGAAAGTTCTTGACGTTGACAAAAATATAACAACAAAACTTAACAGAATATTTCTAAAGGTAAGTTTATCTTACAATATTATGTCAAAACTGGCGTACTGTCAATATTTGACGGAGAGAAGTCAGTTCAAGAACAACTTACTGACCTGCTGCCAAAATCTGCTCGATGGAAGCTGTCGTTATGCCAATCTGAGGAGCCCCAGCAGGTTTCATCGAACGAATCTTCAAAAGAGCATCTTCCGTGAAAAGTGCTATTGGTTTTGTAAACTTCTTTGCTCTCAGTTCATCTGGACCGTCTCTGTCACCAGTATATTGTATTTGAACTGACCAACAGTTGAAATACCACCCATAAAGTCTTCTGAGTCAGCAAATGGAATGCCAAGCCAAAAGTTTGAACGGTCTCCATTTGTATATTGAGTTTTTGACCTCCTGTATGAGTCCATACTTTCACATATGGCATAATAGAACTTTGCATTTCAGGGTTTATGGTTGTTGTGAAGTTTGTTGTTAAAGTTCATAGCATCTAATGTCAAGTTGTATGACCTCATATCCTCACTGTAGAATATTCTTCTCTTGGATAATATTTGCCATCTATGTTTATATGATATTTAATACCGGGGTTGTAGAAACAAGAATAGTCATTTATAGTTCGTCTGAACAGTACAAACATAGTATCTGCATGTTTCATTGCAGTTGTTAAAGCAATATCTGTTCTTGCACCTGGGTCAGCACTTTGGTTTCCAACTTCACCTGCAAAGTCTTTGACAGATATTTGGTGTATAGGGAACATAAGTGGAACTGCAATATATTTGGCAGCTAAAGCATTTGAAATATCTGGGTCCAACATATAGACTGCAGTCTGCTTTCTATTCTCTTGCATTCAAACTTTTCGCATGTGAACTTAACTGGGTCCCAAGCAGTTCCAGCAGCATTGAAATAATAGTTTACTTCATTGTTGAAGTTTGAGAAACCAAAGTCTAAGTCAACTTTGTCTTTGCAAAAGTCACAGAACTTGGCTCCACCAGTTCCAGCTACAGTAATGCTGAATGGGTCTTGTGTTGGTGCAATGACTAAGTTATTTTTGCTTGGAGTAAGTTCGATAGAAATTTTTCCTGCCCAGTTTGGTAAGTATCTTAAAAACCTGAAGATGAGGAAAGATGACAAAGGAACTCTAAGTTTCAGTTTTTACTTTAGTGGCAGCATTTCCATCTGAACCAGAAAGGTTAACATAAACTCCTGGAACGTTAGGGTCAAGTCTTCTTATTTTCTCAATATTTTGCATACTGGTCTGTTTGTTCTCTAGCTTGTGGTTGTACTGAGTTTCTCAAAGCGAACCATTCATAGTTTGCCCATGTTACTGTTTGAACTAAGTCAGAGTTAGAATATATCTTATATCCCATGAAAACTTCTGGAGCATTTGGTATCCGACATAGAAAATTCCATTGCAACCTTTCTTGTCAGACAACTTGGCAGAAGGTTTTATTTCAATGTCTTGTTCCACGTATAAGAATGAGTTGTCATAGAAATAATATGAAACCTGTCACAAGCAATATCTACTGTGTTGAAGAACCTTCTCCAAACTCACCTACGTTTCCATAAGAAACAGCAGTTGTATATTCGTAAGTTCCAGGAACTATTTCTGACCTTCTAATGGCATTGTCGCATTCGTTATACCATTCGGAAACATTTCCGTTCATGGCATCCAAAACTGTTGGCGTTATATTCTGAGCGGCGTACATTTCATATGGGTAAAATATAGAATAGTTGGATTTATATATCATAATAGAACCCACTCGTACCAAGCTTTACTTTGTTCTACTCTTCTTCTTTGGTGTCGCTTTTGGTAACTTGCCCTCTGCTTCAAGTTGTTGCATCTTTGCCTCATGTTCACCTAGTATGTTGTAAATTTCCCATGTCCTTTTTGCCTTTGGGCTCTGGTCGCCCAACTCAGGTAACCTATATCCTAGAAAGATTTTGTCATAGTTTGTATTTGAGTCTTCGCGTATTGTTTGCATGACTCTTTCCTGAGTTTCCGGTTCAAGCTCTTCAAACAGAGCTTGTCCATATGGAATAAGCTCGTTTCCAAATATATGTTTTTGTAGCCATTCTGGTTTCTTCCATGTTACCAACAATATCTTTTGTGAATGGGAAAGCTTTTACCCAATGTTTCAGTCTTGCGTCATTTATTTCTGTAGTTGGTTTTATTTTGTCAAGGAACATGTTTTTCAATACTAACATTTCATTTGTACTGTCCATTTGAGTTTTCTTAAATATTCATCCCTTCTCGGTTCATTGTCTGCAAAGTAAGTTTTTATGACATTTTGTAACTTTCGTTTGCAAGGTCATGTACAATAGGTTCTCTTCCTTCTCTCTCCCTAACTTTCTTTCTAAACTCTTCACCAAATATACCATCTCTATGGTTCTGTGTAGTTCTTTGAGATAAATGTTCTAGAACGTCAGGTGTTATATTTCCATCAGCCATGTTCATTTCATACTGGTCCAAAATATCTGCATCTTTCATATCTTTCAATGGCATTAAAGCCGCGCTGAAAATACCAGCTACATCTGGTTCACCATTCACTTCCATTGCGTCTACAACTTCTTGGAATTGTGGTTGTAAAGTTTATGAACCACCTATCCGGATTAGCTTTATGACCCCATCTCATTGTAGTTCCATCGTCTGCAGAAACAAAAGTAGGTTTGTTTCCATATTGGCTAGGTTCTGAATGAACTTTAAACAATGTTTCATTTCTATATGTTTTGTTGAAATTTAACCTTTTATTTTCACGAGTTCATCCAAAGATTGAACGTTATATGCTCGTAAGTAAAAAGGATGTTGTATTTGTGTACACCTTCTTTCAGTTCTTCCATTCTATGCTGGATATTTTTCATCTGATGTTGGAGTCTGTTTATGTCGGCGAACATTTTTCGATATTTTCTTTCTACTATGTCAGCCGAATTTTTCTTAGACTCTTGGAAAGATTCCATATTCCCCGCATACTCTTGTTGAGGGTCAAGATTTTTCGGCTGTCCAAATCTTCATCTAGTTCTGTGAAGTTAGTTTCCAAAGGAGGGACTTGTTCGTTTCCTTCTGGCTCTTCTAGCTGTTTGCTGAACTATTTCTTCCATGTCTGGTTGTATCTGAACTTCTTCCTGTGGAGTTTCTTGTACCTCATCTGCTGGCATTTCATATATTCCGAGACCGTTTTTAACAATTTCCCTATCTACGTCATCCGCATTCATAAGCTTTTGTTCTTTCGTTCCGTCTCTATTTTTTACGCGTTTCATGACGAAAGTTGAATTGTCATTTAGCTCTGACATCAAATATCTCGGAGTAAATTCATCCATGTCATTTGGATGATTGCTATTAAATCATATCCCTTAGCGAGCTTGTATTTTCCAGGTTTGAGATTATATCCGTTTTGGTGCTGAGCCATAAAGCTAAATAGGTTCGGGTCAGTATTTCCATCCTTGAACTTTCTAATAGCTTCTTTATATCTGTCACTAAAGTCAACAAGTATCTGGGAAACCACACTCTTCTTTAAGCATTTTTAAGAATTCTTGGTTTCTTGTTCTCTACTTCTTTTATGTCCTTGCTCTGTTTGTGTTGGTTGTTGTGCAGGGTTTTGAACTGTTGGTTGCTGTGCTGGTTGTTGTGCTGGATTTTGAACTGTTGGTTGTTGTGTTGGTTTTGGTGCATGCCTGTGTCTGTGTCCATGTGACGATGTAAATGTTCTTAGGTAGTCCTGGTGCAGGTGCTTCTCTTGGAGGGTTTGTGGTATATAAGTTCCACCAGCTGGCACATATGTTCCATCTGCAGCATAATGTCCTACCTGACTTTTCGTTCTTAAGAAAGCATTTACTAGGTCTGTTTTGGTCTGTTGTAACTCTTTTTCT